TCTACGCACCAAAATTAATAAGAAAAAGTGTTTTCCCGAGAAATTTTGGTGTAGTCGATTTTTGGTAAAAAAGGAAGGTTATACACTGCCTTTTTTTGAGGCCCGAAAAAAAAAATTGTCTCAGATCGACCCGGAACAAAAATTTTCTTATAGAATGTGGCCTGTAGAATCCATAATTTCAAACAGTTCCAAGATTGGGCTACTAGTTCAAAAGTTACAGCCCTTTGAATTTTCTTTCGAAATTGTTTTCTAGTCCATAACTTTTGATCGAAAAAGTAAGAATTGTATTGGATTCTACGCACCAAAATTAATAAGAAAAAGTGTTTTCCCGAGAAATTTTGGTGCAGTCGATTTTTGGTAAAAAAGGAAGGTTATACACTGCCTTTCTTTGAGCCCCGAAAAAAAAATTGTCTCAGATCGACCCGGAAAAAAATTTTCTTATAGAATGTGGCCTGTAGAATCCATAATTTCAAACAGTTCCAAGATTGGGGTACTAGTTCAAAAGTTACAGCCCTTTGAATTTTTTTTCGAAATTGGTTTCTAGTCTATAACTTTTGATTGAGAAGTGTGATCGAAAAAGTACGAATTGATTTGGATTCTACGCACCAAAATTAATAAGAAAACGTTTTTTCCCGAGAAATTTTGGTGCAGTCGATTTTGGGAAAAAAGGAAGGTTATACACTGCCTTTTTTTGAGCCCCGAAAAAAAAATTGTCTCAGATCGACCCGGAAAAAAAAATTTCTTATAGAATGTGTCCTGTAGAATCCATAATTTCAAACAGTTCCAAGATTGGGCTACTAGTTCAAAAGTTACAGCCCTTTGAATTTTTTTTCGAAATTGGTTTCTAGTCTGAGAAGTCTGATCGAAAAAGTACGAATTGATTTGGATTCTACGCACCCAAATTAATAAGAAAAAGTGTTTTCCCGAGAAATTTTGGTGTAGTCGATTTATGGTAAAAAAGCAAGGTTATACACTGCCATTTTTTGAGCCCCGAAAAAAAAATTGTCTCAGATCGACCCGGAAAAAAATTTTCTTATAGCATGTGGCCTAAAGAATCCATAATTTCAAACAGTTCCAAGATTGGGCTACTAGTTCAAAAGTTACAGCCCTTTGAATTTTTTTTTTCGAAATTGGTTTCTAGTCTATAACTTTTGATTGAGAAGTCTGATCGAAAAAGTACGAATTGATTTGGATTCTACGCACCCAAATTAATAAGAAAAAGTGTTTTCCCGAGAAATTTTGGTGGAGTCGATTTTTGGAAAAAAGGAAGGTTATACACTGCCTTTTTTTGCCACGAAAAAAAATTGTCTCAGATCGTCCCGGAAAAAATTTTTTTCTAATAGAACGTCGCCTATAGAATCCATAATTTCAAACAGTTCCAAGATTGGGCTAGTAGTTCAAAAGTTACAGCCCTTTGAATTTTCTTTCGAAATTGGTCTATAACTTTTGATTGAGAAGTCTGA